TTTTTGATACTCTGAAGGATGAGGGGCTTGCATAGGATGGATGAGGTTGTGAATACAGTTGACCTGGATCTGTGGGTTCTGCATTTATTAGATCAAACCAACTAATGATAAAAAGTATTTAGAAAAAAATATATCTGTATTGAACATGTACACACTATTCTTGTTACCCACTTCCTTCCTTCCTTCCTTCCTTCCTTCCTTCCTTCCTTCCTTCCTTCCTTCCTTCTTTCTTTCTTTCTTTCTTTCTTTCTTTCTTTCTTTTTTTCAAGACAAGGTTACTTCTGTGAAGTTTTGGTGCCTGTCCTGGATTTTACTGTGTAGACCAGGCTGGCCTTGAACTCACAGAGATCCACCAGGCTCTGTCTCCCGAGTGCTAGGATTAAAGGTGTGAGCTACCGCTGCCTGGCCTCTTGTTACCCACTTTCTTAAATATAATAAGCATTACAGTTATTTATAGAGTATACATTGAGTTAGGTATTATTAATGGGACCAGAAAGGACTTAGAGTATAATAGTGGATGTGCATAAGTCTATATGCAAAGCCATCTAATATAAGGAACTCATGTTATGAATTTTTGGGAGCCAGTCCATCCTACCTCTGTATCCCTCCAACTTTGTCTCTCTCTCTCTCTCTCTTTCTCTCTCTCTCTCTCTCTTTTTTTTTTCTTTCTTGTTCAATAATCCATTAACTCAAGTTTGTGCTGTCCATATACTTCTGGGGGTTGAACCACACACTGGAACATGGTCACCTAAAGGGGACCATACCCTTAAAGAAAACTGACTCTCTTCCTCGAGAAGCCATCAACTGTTCATAGCTCCTCAGTTAAGGGTCTGTGAAGGGGCTTTTGAAGCCCTTCCCACTCAGTGTTAGGATGTTGACTGGCTTGATCGTGTGTCGGCAGCCACAGCTGCTGTGAGTTCAATAGTGTAGTGGTCCTGTCAGCCGAAGACACTGTTTCCTCTGGGTTTTCCCTGACCTCTGGTTCTTAAAATCTTTCTGCCTTCTTTTTCTCGATGATCCCTGAGCCTTGGGGATGGGGTGTGATACTAATGTCCCATTTGGGACCAAGCATTCCACAGTCACATGTTCTCTGCACCCTGGCCAGTTGTGAGTTTTTGTGCTAACCACATTCACTGCACAAAGAAACTGAGAGTGACAATACTCCACAGATAGAGAAAATTTAGAGGGCAGCTTGGTATTATGTCTGTTTACCAAAATAATTTTTAAAAAGAGTAGTAGGTTCACCCCGGCCTGTGAGCTCCTCAGGCATGGGTTCTTGGGCAGATTTGCAATACCAGGCATGTGTTTCCTTCTGTGGAGCAGGTCTAAGTCCAACCAGAAAGTGATTGGTTATTTCCATAACATCTATGGCAGCCCCTTTATTGCTGCTCACAGATGGGGAATATTGTTGATAACTTTTATTTTCCTCTAATAGCCAGCCTGCATAGCACCTATTATGAGAACTAGGCACCAAGGAGGAACCTTCTTGGTCTTTACCAGCTTGATTTGTGTTCTGTGACCAATGAGTGTCATGTCTTCAGAAATCAGATCTTACCATTAATATCGGCCATCAACCAAAAGCCTCTATTTTATTTTTCCAGTTCTGTCTTTCTGAGGCAGAGTTTTGCTGGATAAACAAACACACACACACACACACACACACACACACACACACACACACAGGTTTGGAACTTGCTTTATAAAATCTCATGTTGGCCTTGAACTCGCTAACCTCTTGTTTCATCCTCCCCAGTGTTTAGGATTACAACCATGCTCAGCTGGTTTGTTTATTTTATTTATTTTATCTTTACTTTTTTGAGATGTGGTCTTACTATGTAGCCTAGATTGGCCTCAAGCTCTGGGTCTTCCGACTCCCTATAGCTGCGATTATAAGCATGTTACTATGTCTGCCTTTGTAATAAAGTCAGTAGTTCTTTATGAGAATATGATGATCTGATGTGACTTTGTTTCCCAGAATTTTTCTCAGAACATTGTTGGGCAGTATGCAGTATCTTTTGATCATGCACATTATTTTATTAATGAAATATATGATACTTACACTCAGTGTTACACATGAAAGCACTGGGTAACCTTTTATCATGACAGGTTTACCTGCTAAGTTAGTTTAAAAACAGGGAGGCAGGGGCTGGAGAGAGAGCTCCATGGCTAAGAGCTCATACTTTTAAAAAAAGATTTATTTATTATTTTAATTAAGTGTATGTGGAGGGTGGGTATATACACATGAATGCAAGTGCCCACAGAGGACGGAGGTGTCTGATTCCCCTGGACATGGGGTTACAGGCAGTTGTAAACTGCCTCATGTGGATACTAGGAATCAAACTCAGGTCCTCAGGAAGAGTAGTATAAGACTATATACTATTACAGAGGCCCCAAGTTAAGATCCTGACCTCCATATCAGGTGGTCTACAACCACATCTAACTGCAGCTCCAAGCGATCTGACAACCTCTGAGAGCACTTGAAGTTGCTTGTGTATAACCACACACAGATACATAATTAAAAATCTTTTAAAAATTAGTTTTTGAATTTTATGTTATAAATGAAGGATTATAGACTTGTAATTTATCTTGCACTAAAAATAGTTTTAAAATTATTTGCTTTTACTGTATTTGATATATGAAGCTTTGTATGACTGTATGACTGTGTGTCCATGCATACCTGCCTGTAGAAGCCATAGACTTTGGATCTCACGGAGCTGGAGTCACAGGCATTTGTTGCGTCACCCTTTGTGGGTGCTAGGAACTGATCTCAGGTTTTAGGGAAGAGCAGGAAATGGTCTTAACCACTAAGCCACTTTTCTAGTTCCATCATTTTTTTTTTTTTTTTTTAAGAACAAGATTTACTTATTTTTATTTTATGTGTACAAATGTGTTGCCTACATGTATACACACTACATGTATCCCTGGTGCCCATGGAGGTCAAGAGAGGGCATTGTATCTCCTGGAACTAGAGTTACAAATGGTTGTGAACTGCTATGTGAGTGCTGGGAACCAAATCCGGGTCCTTTGAAAAGCAGTAAGTGTTCTCAACTGTTGAGCCATTGCTCTAGCCCCTCCTTTTAAACATTGATTCTGTGTGTATGTGTGGGTATGCATGTGAGAATATGAATGCCTGCATGCATGCACATGTGGAAGTCAGAGGACGACTTTGTGGAGTTGGCTTTCCCCCTTGACTTTTATGTGGGTTGTGGGGATTGAACTACTTTCACCAGGCTTATGTTAGCTATTACTTTCTATTGCTGTAACAAAACATTACAGCAAGGTATCTTGTAAGAGTTGAATTGGCATTCAAGTTCCAAGGGTTCAGAGTCTGTAATGGTAGAGTGAAGACCTGGTGTGGGGCAACTGGGGCAGCAGCTGAGAGAACACATCTCAACTCACAAGCCGGAGAGGCAGAGAGCTAACTCAAAGTGGCCGAGTCTTTTGAAACTTCAAAACTGGTCCCTAGTGACACACCATCTGCAACAAGGAAGGCCATTCCTCCTAATCCTTTCCATACCAATGGGGACCAAGTATTTAAGCATGTGAGCCTGTGGGGGCCAGTCTCATTCAAACCACCACATGTGGCAAGCACCTTTACCCATGGCCTTCCTTTTGTTTTTTTTGAGACTGGTTTCAAGATGTAGCCTTGGCTGCTGTCTTGGTATTTGGCTTATAGACCACATAGACTTCAAATTTGTGGTGATTCTCCTGCCTCTGCCTCCTCTGCTCCTCCACCGTGCCTGGCTAGTTTGGCTATTCTTGTACTTTGAGTCCTCCATTTGAATTTCAGAGCCAGCAGTTTTGAGTTGTGAAAAGTCCCTGGGATTGTGCTAACGAGCTGGGGGAAGAACTAACCCTTCATGGTATTTGTCCTCTCATCTGGTAGCATGGATAATAACCATTTATTCCTTCATTCATTTATTTATTATTTATTCTTGAGGTATTATTTCATGTCTTCCCATAGAGTTTTAAATGCTTGAAGATTTTTGTTATGTTTAAGGTCCTTTATAGTTTTGTTGCTGTTAGTAGGATTTTATTCTTTTGAGGCAGGGTCTCATATATGTGAGTTTGTAGATGATGATGATGACCTTAACCCAGCTGTTTCTACCTCTGTGCTGCAGTGATTGGCATGTTGTGTGTACAACATCCATTTTATGCGGTGCTAGGGCTCAGACCCAGAGCTTTGTTCATGCTGGGCAAGTCTTGTTTCCAACTGAGCTATAGCCCCAGCCTGAGTTTCTTTATTTTTAAATTAAAAGCTCATTTTCTTCTCTGTCTCCCCCCCCCCCCCCCCCCCCCCCGTGTGGGTGGTACATGTTTGAGTGTTGGTGGTGGTCAAGTTCAGGTGTTGATCCTGGCTTTCACCTTGTTTGAAACAAGTTGTCTTGTTCTTCAGCTGGCCCCTGAACTTTCTCTGTCTCCCATCTCACCATAGGAGCAGTGGGATTTCAGATGCATGCTATTGCATATAGCTCACTGGGTTCTGGGGATATGACCCCAGGTTGTCATCTTTGCATGGTGAGCACTTTACCCACTAATCCATCTTCCTAACTGTAAAAGCTAGTTTCTAATGGTAATTCCCAGTGTACATGAAAGTATTGGTACTTAAATATTAATCTTGTGTTGGACTCTAGTATATTTAGCTGTTATTAGTTCTGATAACGTGTTGAAGTATTAATATTTATATATTGATCTTATGTCTGACTAATATATTAAGTTCTTTTATTAGTTCTGATAATGTCTCCAAGTGTTGATATTTATACATTGATCTTACGTGAATAATAGTCTGAGTTCTCTTATTCAGATATGTCACTTTGTAATTATGAGTTGATATTCTCCCTTTTTCAGTTAGAAAAACATAACATTATGGGTTATCTGATTTTAAAGCTGTGAGAATACTCAATGAAAGAAGGTTCTTCCCCCAAATAAAGGTAATAGCACATTTCTGAGAAGGGAAATATTTATTATTGGGAATTTAATGTGTGATCTTTTCATTACAGATATGGCATAAGATATTTCTTCGAGATTGGACAGCTGGTGACCTGCTATTTCTGATGGCCTTAAGCTGACTTGATAGCCATAGAGAAACCTCACGGAATTGTGTTGTTTTCTGCTTTACACCATTTCTGGTGCCGGAGTTCACCCTGCAACCATGTATGGAAGCGCTCGATCGGTAGGGAAAGTGGAACCAAGCAGCCAGAGTCCTGGGCGATCACCTAGGCTTCCACGGTCGCCTCGCTTAGGTCATCGGCGAACAAATAGTACAGGAGGGAGTTCTGGAAACAGTGTTGGAGGTGGTAGTGGGAAGACCCTTTCAATGGAGAATATACAGTCCTTAAATGCTGCCTATGCTACATCTGGCCCTATGTACCTAAGTGACCATGAAAACGTGGGTTCAGAAACACCTAAAAGCACTATGACACTTGGCCGTTCTGGGGGACGCCTGCCTTACGGTGTTAGGATGACTGCTATGGGTAGTAGCCCCAATATAGCAAGCAGTGGGGTTGCTAGCGATACCATAGCATTTGGAGAACATCACCTCCCTCCTGTTAGTATGGCATCCACTGTACCTCACTCTCTTCGTCAGGCAAGAGATAACACCATCATGGATCTGCAGACACAGCTGAAGGAAGTATTAAGAGAAAACGATCTTTTGAGGAAGGATGTGGAAGTAAAGGAAAGCAAATTAAGTTCTTCGATGAATAGCATCAAGACCTTCTGGAGCCCAGAGCTGAAGAAAGAGCGAGCCTTGAGAAAAGATGAAGCTTCCAAAATCACCATTTGGAAGGAGCAGTACCGAGTTGTGCAGGAAGAGAACCAGGTTAGTTCATTTGTATATTTATCTTCATGGGCTGAACCCGTGTCTACAGGTAAAGGAGGCATCCCTTTTCTGTGCTGTCGTAGATTTCCCCCATCTTCGTTCCTTTATTTTTTTATTTATCCTTTTTACTTTAGAATTCTGTTTTTACTTTCTTAGTGTTTTCAGATTTGGTCATATACATGGTCTACAGGTGTGTTCAAGCGAAACACTCACACACGTAAATTAAAACAAACAGAAAATCTTAAACTAGGTGGTGGTGGCATATGCCTTCAGTCCCAGCACTCAGGAGGCAGAGGCAGGCGGATCTCTGTGAGTCTGAGAACAGCTTACGGAGTGAATTCCATGACAGGCAGGGCTACACAGAGAAACCCTGTCTCAAAACAAACAAACAAACAAACAAACAAACAAAATTCTTAAAATGTTTTGAGTACTGCCTTGGCTACATAGTGAGTTCAGGGCTAACTTGGGGTTATATATTGAGACTTTGTCTCAAAATTAAAAGCAAACAAACAGGACTGCACACATAGTTCAGTGGGAGAGCAGTTTCCTAGCATATGGTAGCAGATTCTTGGACCTGACTTGCTGCCTTAGATTGTTCTGAGTGCTCCAGGGACTTTTTGGTGACACAGTTACATTTGAGTCATCTCGGCCCTTGTCGGTAACCTGTCACACATATTCTTGTAAGTAACCTTAATAAAAAAAAAAAAAAACATTGGTTTACCAAAGTGAGTAAATAAAAGTTTCAGTAGTCAATCCAGAGCTTTCTCTCCCCCCCACCCCCACTTCAGTATGTAGCTTAGGCTGACATGGAGCTCTTCTGCCTCTACTCCTAAATGCTTAGATTTATGTTAGCTTTTCTCACCACCAGCCTTAGATGATCTCTTCAAGAGTAGGTTCTTTGTCTCTCAGGACATAAATTTAAAGCAGATTTGGTGTTAACCAAAGATAGTATTGAGTTACCTACTCATCAAAGTGCCTTGCTGAAAATATAATGACCAGTAAGGTAGTTTTATTGTCAAGTGACTTGGAAATGTCTATTTTATTGAAGAAAAAAGTAATTGAAATATTTTTTGATTTTGAAATAAAATATTTTCTTATGTCTATGCTTTCGAAAGTATGGGGGTTGGGAGAGAAATTGAGTGCAGTATCCTTTCTCTAATTATGCTACATTTAAAGGTAAAATATTTAATCTTTTGAGAAGACAATTATGGGTACTTACCAGTTTTCTGGAAAAGAAATGGTCCACAGGTTTTTCATGCCAAGAAAACCATTCTGTGCTGATGAGGGTGAGCACCGCCTTATCTGGGTCCACCCTGGGCCTAATTAAACACCAGTGCACACCAGCGCTGGCAGAGACATTCTTTCTGCACCACTGTAATTACCACAGAGTTCTAAAATTGTGTAACTTTGGTCCAAAAAACAAAGGGTGCAATTTTAAAGACAGTACAGTGAGATACAGAGACTGAGAATGCTAATTAATAGATTATAGTCAGCTAGCAGTGGCCCCTAATTAAATAGTGCCTTCATTATCCTCTTCATAGCTCCCAGAGGTCAGACAGCTTTCATTTGTAAAGAAGACTGCTTTATTAGACTTCCTAGCAATTAAATACATTTCTGTATTTCAGTTTGAGGTTGGGGATTTTGGGTCATTTTAAATGTTTGATCTGATTGAGCTGGGTCCAGAATCCTATCAGTATAAAAACATATTTGCTTAGGATTGCTTGGTGTGCCTGGTTCATTATTATGGCATTCTCATGGAAGCTTGTTTCTAAAATAAAATTCTCAGATGTTTTTATATCTCAGACGCCTTTTGTTACTTTCAGATAGCTGGTGATTGCAGAATTAGGAATGAGTATGTGTGTGTGTGTGTGTGTGTGTTGTGCGCATGCACGAGCACACCTGTTGTATATCTATGTATATCCATATATATTTTGACAGAGAAGTCCTTTTCTTCTAAATTATGACTAAGGGAGACTTTAGTGTAAGCTTGCTGGAAAAGAATGAAATCTTCCTGTGAGCTTTGTGCAGTTGCAGAACTGGTGAGAGCTTTTGGATAAATTACATCTTAGATTTTATTTTACTTATTTATTTAGTTTTTTTTCCAAGACAGGGTTTCTCTGTGTAGCTCTGGTGCCTGTTCTGGATCTCGTTCTGTAGACCAGGCTGGCCTCGACTCAGAGAGATCTGCCTTGCTCTGCTTCCTGAGTACTGGGATTAAAGGCTTGCGCCACCACCACCCGGCTTAGATTTTATTATAATCAACTATTGCACTTTTTATTTTATTTATTTATTTATTTTTTTGGTTTTTCGAGACAGGGTTTCTCTGTGTAACTTTGCACCTTTCCTGGAACTCGCTGTGGAGACCAGGCTGGCCTTGAACTCACAGAGATCCGCCTGCCTCTGCCTCCCAAGTGCTGGGATTAAAGGCGTGTGCCACCACTGCCCGGCCTATTGCACTTTTTAAAAAAGGGTTGTTTGGGCTGGAGAGATGGCTCAGAGGTTAAGAGCACTGGCTGCTCTTCCAGAGATCCTGAGTTCAATTCCCAGCAACCACATGGTGGTTCACAACCATCAATAGTGAGATCTGGTGCCCTCTTCTGACACACAGACACACTGTATACAAAATAAATAAATGAATTAATAAAAAAAAAAGGGTTGTTCATTTATGTATATGCATGTTTTGTCTGCATATATGCCTGCACATCAGAAGAGGGCATCAGATCCCATTAGACATGGTTATAAGCCACCATGTGGTTGCTGAGAATTGAACTGAGGACCTCTAAAAGAGCAGAGTAGCCAGTGCTCTTAACCACTGAACTATCCCTGCAGTACCTTATACTTCTTTCTTGATTATGCCTTGTTAGAGTTCTGTATGTTGAATTTAGTTAGATGCTTATTTGATGGCAGAAGAGAAAGCTCAGTTGGTAAAAGACAAGTATGAGGACCTGAGTTTGATCCCTATATCCCATGTAACAGATGGATATACTGATGTGCACCTGTAATTCCAGCAGAGAAGGAGACAGCTTGCTGCCCAGCTAGTCTGGTGGCATCCACAAGCTCAAGGTTTAAAGAGAGATGCAGTCTCAAAAAATAAGTTGGAGAGTCATTCTGGAAGACATCTGACATCAAGCCTTAGCTTCTATATGAACACATGTATATGTGCTTGCATACTTACATGCTCACATATTTTGCACATACATGTGCACACATACACAAAATAATTATTTTAATGTTCTTTTACTGAAATTTTGTTTGAACAGAATATTCTGTTTAATATTGTAGGATGGCAATTTTTTGATTGCTTTTTGCTTAAATTTTGTGTGCATGTGGGTGCAGACATGCATATGCCATGGTGCATGTATGGAGGTCAGAGCACAGCTCTTGGGAGCTGGTTTTCTTTCACGGGGTTCTGATGGGCACACTCAGGATCTGGAGATGAATTCTTTTGCCTGCTGAGCCATCTTGATAGCCCTAATGTTTTCTTTTTGCAAAGAATATTTATTCTTTTTGGAATTTGAGGCTTCTTCTATTGAGGTGCTGAGGATTGAATCCAAGGTCTTCTACATGATAAACAAATGCTCTACCATGACTATACTCCTAGCCTAGGATTTTAATTTTATTTATTAGACCTTTGCATGCATGGAAATATGTAAACATCTATTAGACATTTCTTCTTGTAGAGTTATATTTGCTTACCTGGAATGTAGCAGGATAATTGGGAAAAATATTCAGTGACTCAAAAAAGTTGCATAAATATCTGATATGGTTTACTTGTAAAGAAATTAAGGATATTTTCCAAAGAATTGAAGTTTCTTAGTCTGTTCTTTCTCCTCTTCAATTCCATGGTGTAATTTAAAATTTAATTTTTGTTCTTTAGTTTTCTGAGACTGGGCCTTATAACACTGGCTTTTGATTTTTCTGCTGGGCATTGAGTACCAGGGCCTTGTTTGTGCTGGACAGGCGCTGTTCCACTGAGTTACAACCCACTTCTGGTTTCATTACAGCACAACAGGATTGTTGTTAAGGATTTGCTAATTTATCATAAATTTTCAAAACAGCAGCTTAAGTATGATTTGGAAGACTCACTTTTTATTCTCTTGGCAAAAGAATCAGGAAATACGTTTAGTCATTAGAGTAATCCTTAGTTTTTGTGGTACTCAGGATCAGGGAGCCCGCCCGCCTTTGGTTGGTAAGCAAGCCCTTCATCTCTGAACCTTCCTCGGCCCTAGCTATAGTGATACCCTCCATTCTGTGAATTCCAGGGGCTCAATTCAGGTTGGCATTTTTTTTTAAGATTTCTTTATTTTGTGTGTATGGATGTTTTACACACATGTGCACGCACGCACGCACGCACGCACGCACGCACGCACGCACGCACACACCGCAAGTGTACCTGGTACCAGAAGAGGTCATTGGATTCCCGGGAACTGGAGTTAAAGATGTTTTGAGCCATCTTGATGGGTTCTGGGAATGGAATCTTGGTTCTTTGCAAGAGCAACAAGTGCTCTTAACCACTGAACCATCTCTCTGTTCCCCAGGTTATCAATCTTGTTGGCAAGTGTTCTTATTTGCTGAACCATCTTGTGGCTCCAGTTGTAGTAATGTTGATCAGGGAAGTTATAGTTTCATTTTACTTTTCAAAGTCATCCTGCGCCTGGAACCTGACATCCCTTTATGGGTTCTGTGTGTGTCCATAGGTGTGTTGGCGAGCTCTACAAACTGTGGTTTACATAAACGGTGGCTGAAGAGAGATTGTTCTTTTCTTTCATGGTATTTTTATTGTTTATTTTTAGCTCTAACACTAGGTAAATTAGTGCAAATATTTGGGTTTTAGATTTTGAGTTCTTGGAGAAATGTATTTTCTTTTAAAAAAGTTTTAGCTGGGCAGTGGTGGCACACACCTTTAATCCCAGCACTGGCGAGGCAGAGGCAGGCAGATCTGAGTTCGAGGCCAGCCTGGTCTACAGAGTGAGTTCCAGGATAGCCAGGGCTAAACAGAG